TACATAATTTTCTGTCCTCATACTTCATCATCAGATTTGTTATTAAGGCTATTCTACATGCTAAGATGAATTGCGAACTAGTTCCCCTTTTTCTGTTCTCTTGAAGATTTTTTATTATATTAGAATTTTGAATGTATGGCAGATTTGGTACTAGAGTCATCTTAACTGTTTTTTTTTCTTTTTGAGGTTATTTAAAAGTATGAATTTAGTGTCTTCAACAATTATAGTCATATTAAGATCTAACTATTCTTGATTCAATTTTGGGAAGTACATTTTTTCCTAAGAAATTTCTTTTGAATTTTCAAATGTATTATTATAATTTATTAATAGAATTTTGGCAATATGTCAGAGTAATATGCCTTTTATATATTTTATAGTGGTTATATATATTCTCTCTCTCCTACCCTCTCCTTAATTAGACTTGGTAGAGGTTGATCAATTTAATTAGTGTTTTCAAGAAGCACTTAGCTTTATTATTTTTTATTTTATTAATTTTATAACCATTTCTCTACATCTACTTTCTTATGGTTTATTTTACTGTATTTCCTCCTACCTTCATGAATTGCCAATTTTTGCTTTAATATTAATCTTTGTTGTATGCATCATTCTGAAACTATATAGGTTTTTCCTATATCCCACAAGTTTTGATGATATAGTGTTTTCATTATCATTTAGTACAAAATATTTTCTCAGCTTCATTTTGATTTCTTCTTTGACCTATTGGCTACTAAGAAGCATGTTCTTTTGTTGTTGTTTTTAGTTATACATGACAGTAGAATGTATTTTGACATATCCATATATATACATGGAGTATAGCTTCCCATTATTGTGGTTGTACATGATGTAGGATTATACTGCTCATGTATTCATATATGAACACAGGAAAGTTATGTCTGATTCATTGTCTTTCCCATTTCCATTCCCTGTCCCTCCTCCCCTTCCCTCCCTGTCCAATCTGGTAAACCTCCACTCCTCCCTTTATCCCACCTATTGTGAGTCATTATCTACATATCAGAGAGAACATTTGGTTAGGATTGACTTATTTCACTTAGCATGATAGTCTCCAGTTTCATCCATTTATTGGCATATGCCATAATTTCATTCTTCTTTGTGGTTAAATAATATTTTATTGTGTATATGTACCACATTTTCTTTATATATTCATCTATTGAAGGACACTTAGGATGGTTTCATAGCTTAGCTATTGAGAATTGAGCTGCTATGATCATTGATGTGGCTGCATCACTATAGTATGCTGATTTTAAGTCCTTTGGCATATGTCTAGGAGTGGGATAACTGGGTAAAATGGTGGGTTTTTTCCCAAGTTTTCTGAGGAATCTCCATACTGCTTTCCAGATTGGTTGCTCCAATTTGCAGTCCCACCAGCAATGTATACCTTTTCCCCCAGATCCTTGCCAACATTTATTGTTGTTTGTATTCTTGATAATTGTCATTCTGACTGGAGTAAGATGAAATCTCAGTGTAGTTTTAATTTGCATTTCTCTAATTGCTGGTGATGTCTGCCATGTGACCAGCGCTGGCTTCATGAAAGAAGGTTCGATTAAATTAAATTAAAGAGACAAGACTCTTATTACCTTTAATACCAGCTCTGGGACGGCTTCTCCTAGCTCCCGCCTCCAATCACCTAATGTGGTAGAGAGGTTTGCAGAAGAGACTAGTGAGAGAGAGGGCTTTTATTGGGGAACAAAAAATTCCAGGGAAAATCCCATCCAATGAAGGTTAAGGGGAGCATCATCCCAAGGTCAGGGGTGAAGATTGGGTCTTCAGAGCAGTGGCCAGGCATACCTCTGCTCGGATAAGCCCTTGGACCTGGGAAAGGGTGGGGAAAGCTCTAACACAGCTTTGTCTAAGCGCCTCTAACCCAGCCAGGAAGGTAACTCAAATCAAGTGCAAGGATGGCCTCCTACGCTGATGTTGAACAATTTTTATATATTTGTTGAACATTCATATTTGTTCTGTGCAGTGTCTATTCAGTTCCTTTGCCCAGTTACTATAAGGTTATTTGTTATTTTGGTGCTAAGTTTTTGAGTTCTTTGTATATCCTGGAGATTAGTGTTCTATCTGAGGTACACGTGGTAAAGATAGATGTTCTCCCATTCTGTAAGCTCTCTCTTCACATTCTTGATTGTTTCCTTTACTGTGAAGAAGGTTTTTAGTTTGATGCCATCCCTTTTATTGATCCTTGTGCTTTAGGAGTCTTGCTGAGGAATTCAGTTTCTAAGCAGACATGATAGAGATTTGGGCCTACTCTTTCTTCTATTAGGCACACAGTCTCTGGCCTAATGCATAGGTCCTTGATCCACTTTGAGTTGAGTTTTATGCAGGTAAGAGATAGGGGTCTGATTTCATTTTATTACATATGGATTTCTAGTTATCCCAGCACTATTTATTGAAAAACATAAACATACATAAACAATTTATGTTTATGGCATCTTTGTATAGTATGAGATAACTGTATTTATGTGTGTTTGTCTCTGTGTCTTCTATTCTATACCATTTGTCTTCAACTCTGTTTTGGTGTCAATACCATGCTATTTTTGTTATAATTGCTCTGTAATATAGTTTTATATCTGGTATTGTGATGCCTCCTATTTCACTCTTCTTACTAAGGATTGCTTTGGTTATTCTGGGACTCTTCTTTTTCCAAATGAATTTCATGACTGCTTTTTCTATTTGTATGAAGAATATCATTTGAACTTAATAGGAATTGCTGTAAATCTGTATAGTACTTTTGGTAGTATGACAGTTTTGACAATATTAATTCTGCCTACCCAAGAACATGGGAGATCTTTCCATCTTCTAAGGTCTTCTTCAATTTGTTTCTTTAGTGTTCTAAAGTTTTCATTGTAGAGATCTTTCATCTCTTTTATTAGATTAATTCCCAGTTTTTTGAGGTTATTGTCAATAGTATAGTTTTCCTAATTTCTCTTTCAGTTAATTCATCTCTGACATATAGAAATGCAATTGATTTATGGGTGTTCATTATATATCTTGCTACTTTGCTGAATTCATTTATTCTAGAAGTTTTCTTTTTTTGGATCTTCTAAATATAACATTGTGTCATTGGCAAATAGGGATAATTTGAATTCTTCTTTTCCTATTTGTATCTCTTTAATTTCTTTCTTCTAATTGCTCTGGCTAGAATTTCTAGGACTATGCTGAATAAAAATGGTGAAAGAGGGCATCCTTGTCTTATTCCAGTTTTTAGAGGGAATGCTTTCAATTTTTCTCCATTCAGAGTGATTTTGGCCTTGGGCTTAGCATAGAGAGCAGGAGATGTTCCTACTATCTCTAGTTTTTCTAGTGTTTTGAGCATGAGTGGATGCCGAATTTTATCAAATGCTCTTTCTTCATCTATTGAGATAATCTTATTATTCTTATCTGTAAATCTATTGATGTGATAAATTACATTTATTGATTTCCATATTTTGAACCAACATTATATCCCTGGGATGAAGCCCACTTGATCATGATGCACTGTCTTTTAAAAAATAATTTTTCATGTGATTTGCCACTATTTTATTAAGAATTTTTGCATTTATATTCATCAGAAATATTGGTCTGAAGTTTTCTTTCTTTGATGCATCTTTTTTTAGTATCAGATACCAAAACCAGACACTAGCTTTGTAGAATTAGTTTGGAAAGTTTCCCTCCTTTTTTATTTCATGGAATAACTTAAAGAGGATTGGTGTTATTTCTTCTTTGAAGGTTTAGTAGAACTCAGCTGTGAATTGGTCTGGTCCTGGGCTTTTCTTTGTTTGTAGGCTTTTGATGGCATCTTCAATTTCAATGTTTGAAATCGATCTGTTTAAATTTTCTATGTCCTCCTGATTCAATTTAGGTAGATCATATGTCTCTAGAAATTTGTCAATGTTTTCAAGTTTTTCTGTTTTATGAGAGTATAAATTTTCAAAATAGGTACTGTATTATCATCTATACTCCGTTAGTGTCCATTGTGATATTTTTTTTTTCATCATGAATTTTAGTAACTTGAGTTTTCTTTCTCTTTCTCTTTGTTAGCTTGGCTAAGGGTTTATCAATTTTATTGATTTTTTTTCAAAGAACCAACTTTTTGTTTTGTCATGTTTTGGGATTGTTTCTTTTGTTTTAATTTCATTGATTTCAGGTCTAATTTTAACTATTTCCTGCTTTCTACTGATTTTGGTTTTGGTTTGTTCTTTTTCAAAGGCTTTAAGATGTAATGTTAGGTTATTTATTTGTTGACTTCTATTCTTATAATGAATGAACTCAATGTAATGAACTTTCCTCTTAGCATCGCCTTCATTGTGTCCCAGAGATTTTGATATATTGTGTTGCTATTCTTATTTATCTCTAGGTATTTTTTTTATTTCATCCCCGATTTCTTCGACTATTCATTGGTCATTCAATAGCATATATTTAGTTTTCAGGTATAAGAATAGTTTCTATTTTTAATTTTATTGTTGATTTCTAATCTCATTCCTTTATGATCTGATAGGATGCAAGATATTATCTGTATTTTTTTGTTGTATTTGGGAAGAGTTGCTTGGTAGGATAATGTATAGTCTAAATTATAGAAGGATCCATGTGCTGAGAAGAAATTGTATTTAGTCATTGATGGATGAAATATTGTATATGTATCTGTTAAGTCTAAATTATTATGTATTTTTTAGTTCTATAGCTTCTTTATTTAGATTTTGTTTGGAGGATCTATCTAGTGATGAAAGAGGTTTGTTAAAGTCACCCAGTATTATTGTGCTATGGTCTATATGCTTTTAAAATTGAGAAGGGTTTGTTAGATTATGTAGGTGCTCCATTGTTTGGGCATAAATATTTATGATTATTATGTTTTGTTGATTTAAAGCAGTATGAAATATACTTCTTTGTCCCTTCTGATTAACTTTGGCTTGAAGTCTACTTTATTTGAATGAGAATAGAAACCCATTTGTTTAATAGATCAATGTGAATGATATCTTTTTTTTCTATCCTTTCACCTTCAGTATGTGGATGCCTTTGCCTATGAGGTGAGTCTCTTCGAGACAGCACATTGTTGAGTCTTGTTTTTTAATCCATTCTGCCAGTTTGTTTCTTTTGATTGATGAGTTTAGGCCATGCATTCAATGTTATTTTTGAGATATGATTTTATTCCCTGTCATTTTGATGTATTTCTAGTTTTTAATTTGAAATATTTTCTCCATTGATTCATTATGTTTTTAGTGTATTTCCTCCCTTGGCTGTTTTTCACTTTTATTTTTCATGTCTTCTTTATGAAATATCTTATTGGGTAAGTTTTGTAGTACAGACTGTCCAATTTTGAATTCTTTTAACTTTTATTTAACATGGAAGGTTTTTCTTTTGTCATCAATTCTGAAGCTTAATTTTGCTGGCATCCATTTTCCTGGCTGGCATCCATTTTCTTTCATAGTTTGATATATATTATTCCAAGACCTCCTAGTTTTGAGGGTCTGAGTTGAGAGATCAGCTGAGATCCGGATTGGTTTCCCTCTAAATTTTACCTGTAATTTTTCTCTGGCAGCCTTTAAAATTCTATCCTTATTCTGTATGTTAGGTATACTCATAATAATGGCCTTGATGTGGAGTCTGTTGTAATTTTGTATATTTGGAGTCCTGTAAGCCTCTTCTGTTTGATTTTTTCCATTTCATTCTTTTGTTGTGGGAAATTTTCTAATATTATTTCATTGAAAAGGTTGTATATTCCTTTCCCTTATATCTCTGAATCTTCATTTATCCCAATGAATTTTAAATTTGGATTTTTCAGGTTATCTTATACTTCTTAGAAGTTCTGTTTATAGTTCTTCTCTGACCATCTTCTCTGTCTGGTCAACTTTATTTTTAAGATTATATTTTATTTTCATTGCCTGAAGTTTTGCCTTTCAAGTGGTCTAGCCTGTTGGTGATGCTTTCTATTAAATTTTAATTTGATTTACTGATTCCTTCATTTTGAAGATTTCTGCTTTTTTTTTTCAGAATTTCTATTGCTTTATTGAAATGATCTTTCACTTCCATATTTTCTGTCTGATTTCACTTCTTATGCCATCCTTTACTTCACAGATCAGTTTAACTATACACATTTTAAACTCCTCTGACATTTATCCCACTGTGGTGTCAAAGAACTCTGTTATTGAACTATCTTAGTTTGTTTGGAGTGATTTGTTCCTTTGCTTTTTCATGTTGTTTGTGTGTCTATTTAACAGTGTGGATCTGTGGCAGTAGAGTTTCCACTCTGTGTACTTATAATGTCCCTGAAGTTTTCTAGTACCTCACTGTTTAGGAGGAGACAAGTAATTGCAACAACCAATGAAAACAATATGCAGCATTAAACCAAATAGTTCCCACTATGATGTCTATAATGTTAATAATCACAGTAAACAGCAATTATATGATCAGTTATTGCCTACAATAAGAACAGCAAGTTCACAAATGGATTTACAATTTCAAATGGTAAACAGGGAGAGAACAGAAATTATATAGGACATGATGATTATGAAGGAGGAGGAGAGAAAATAGAAGTAAAAATTTAAAGTAAGAGTGAAGGAGGGAACAATAGAGATTGACTGTTAACAGAAGAAAAGAGAGAAAGAGAATCAAAAGAAACATATAAGAAAAAAATGTATATAAAGTAAAAATTTTAAAAAATTAAAAATTAAGGGGCTGAGGTTGTGGCTCAGTGGCAAAGTGCTTGCCTAGCCTGTGTGAGGCACTGGGTTCAATCCTCAGCAACACATAAAAATAAATAAAGGTATTGTGTTCATCTACAACTAAGAAATTTTAAAAAATAAAGATAAAATAATACAAAACAAAACTAAAATATACTAATCAAACATCCTAGTCCTCAAAAATCTGATCTGTGAAAAAAATACTGGCTCCAAAATGCTAGAAATGAGAAAAAATATGAGTATGTAAAAATGTCCACATCCCATTAAGGTCATAATTAAATGGAAAAGAGAAAAGAAAACAGCAAAAAGAAAGAGAAAAAGATCTGGATGAAAAGTTAAAGAACTTTTTCCATTTGAGTTCAACAGGTTCTCAGCTTCTCTTATAAGAAGTTTTAAGTGGGTCATCTGGATTATGATGCTCCACCCTCCAGATTGCTAGAGTAAGAGAAGTAATCCTGCAAACAGAATTCCTGGAGGCAGGGTTTAGGCTTAGCTAGGCTCAGGGTTCTTTGCTGAATGCCATTTAGTCTGGAGATTTTAAAGCAGCACACCCCTAGGGCCCAGTAATTGCTGATCCCACTGGAAGACTATACCTCAGAGATCTCTCTTGGGTTGCACTTGTGTGGTAGAGGAGCCAATTCATAGTCCCTTATGTCACCTGTGGACCTCACATCCTGGTCTTGGAGTTCAGTCTCCAAACTCAATCTCTCCTGCCCTTGCCCTTCCAAGTCCCTGGCTAGATGTATCTCTTCCAGTCAGTCCTGCCAGCAGCCAGATTGGAGGGGGAGGGATATAGCTGGGTGCATTTTCACTACCAGTTGTACCCTGTGTAAACCTCTCTCCATCTTTGATATTCTCTTGGTCACTTAAGCACACTCTATGTTGTGTAGCATATGTTTACTGGGCTGGTATTTTGGACCAAACTCAGGTTTGCCAGGAATTGGCTTCCTCAGCTGCTAGTCCCCATGCTGTGACTCCAAAATGGTTCATTTCTTTGTCCTCCACATACCTGGAGAGATGGTGGCTTCTTTCCCACAAAAGGGTATTGAGCAGCATGCCTTTTAATTTCATACAGCAAGGCAATGTCCTTGATTTCTAAATAATCTGTACCCAGACATACCTCAGGTCTCCTAAAATGGTAGGTTTCATTAATTCCCTTAACCCTCCACTTTCCTTATAGAGGGACTGCTCTGCCTGGTGCTTCTAGCCTGGTTGTGGCAGCAGCTGCATGGCTGAGAATTTCTTCCTTGTTTTGTTATACCCAACCTCCTGAGTTCCCGATCTGTGTTGAATGTCTAGTTTGAGTTTCAATAAAGCCCCTGCCCTTTTTTTCCCCACCTACCTTGCTGAGAAGCTGCCTGTTTGCTTTCTTGGTTTCATGCTGCAGAGCAACCAGGAAAGCTACCTCCTCTGCCCCAACATTTAGAGTCTTGCCCATTTTTTTTATGTTGTTTTTTGGTTTTTGGTACCAGGGAGTGAACTCAGGTACACTTTACCACTGAGTCACATCCCCAGCCCTTTTTATTTTTAGACAGGGTCTCTAGGTTATTTAGGTCCTCACTAAATTGCTGAGGCTGGATTTCAACTTGGGATCTTTCTGCCTCAGCCTCCCAAGGTACTGGGATTATAGGCATGTGCCATGTATCTGGCCAAATTTTCTATTTTAAGCACCTTTGCCATGAATATTCCTATGGATACTTTGTTGTGTACTTGTCCAGTTGATTGTCTTTGGGGATTAAAAACTATAAGTACTTTATAATGTGATACATATTTACATATTATCAAAAACCCTACCAAAAACGCCATATCAAATATACTTCTATTAATAGCATGTATTAGTACTTAGGAAGTTCTTTTTAATGTCTAATTTTTTTCACCTTATTTCAGACTTGTTTTTCATAATTATAAAATAAGGAAACTGAAATTTATCAGTGGGTTGTTAAAACTTTCTAGGGTCCCAGAACCATTTTAGAATTTTTGAGAGCCTAGTTTCCAGAATTTTTTTTGGCCTAGTTTCCAGAAAAGCACACATACCAAAACACAGCATATTTTTACATACTACTTTTTGGAACTCACAGTTCCTTTAGAGTTAAATTACACCCTTTAATACTTCACTCCATAAACCCAGATCAAGAATCTGTGAAGGAGGTGATTTGAGTTTGTTTGTTTGTTTCTTTTTAACACTAACATGCACACATCTTGAACACACATGGATACACTCACATGCACACAGAATTTAAATGTGTATTTGGACAGGATTTGACTTCTGCTTGATATAGAAACTAACCTTATGTTAATTCACCTTAGTATATATAGTTATTGAAATTGAATGTTTCTATCTATTTTAGGTTTTCCAATGGCGAGCTCACCAGGAAGAGTTGGAAAGACTGGAAATTGAAATTTCTTCCAGAAGAAGAGAAAAGGAAGAGGAGAAAGAGAAACTATGGAAGAAGAAGGAATTGTTGAAAAAAAAAGAGAAGAAGAAAAAGGTATAAAATCTTCTATCAGGGCAAAGTCTTCTATAAAAGGGAAAATGAATATTTAATTGCCTGATTGAGCTTTAATTAATCTTGATGTTGGAAATGGAATTCTGAAAGAGAGTTCTGAGAACATTTTAGAGTTTAGTTGAGTTTTTGTTTTAGTTTATTTGAGCATCAAAGATTTGTGGGAATGGAAGAGAACCCACTTTGTTGACCTTCATAAGTATAGGTACCTGTGATTATAAGAGATGCTGTAGGAAAAAACAAAAAAGATGAAGTTTGTAACTACTGCCAAGTCTTGAATTAAGGAGGTTCATGACAAAGTTTGCAGGGTGCTTAGGTAGCATTTTGGTTGATGGCTATGTGGCAAAAAATTGTTAAACAGTAGTTGGTGAAATATATTGTATTAGGGACGGTATAATTCATTGAATGCCAAGAATTTACTTTTTGATTATATGTTAGTTTAGCTTTTTGCTTACTGATACAAAGTTATCATTCTTTTGAGTGAACATTTGTTTAGCAATCTTAAAATTACCAAGAAACTTAATAACTTTTAAGGGAAGATATGGAAGATAGATCATATTTTATGTTTGAATTTTTCAATATATATATATATGTGTGTGTGTATGTGTGTGTGTGTATTTGAATGATATATTCATTTAGGTATTTGTATTTGTTTTCACAACAAAAATTATACTGTTTCAGTGAAGATATTTTTGTTAAAATTTTATCATATTTGGGGCTGGGATTGTGGCTCATTGGTAGATGCTTGCCTAGCTCGTGGGAAGCCCTCTGTTTGATCCTCAGCACCACATAAAAATAAATCAATAAAATAAAGATATTGTGTCCAGTTGCAACAAAAAATAAATTTAAAAAAATTTTATTAGATTTATTAATCAATTTTATGGGTTTGCTGACTCTGTGGAAATAATTCAGAAAAAGGCAATTAATTTGTGATCAATACAATGAAAAGAAATCTCTACACCTGTGTGTTTCCACCAATAATAGCACATATCAGTACTCAAAAAGTTCACCTGCATTGATTTTATCTGCATAATGTAAAAAAATGCTTTCTTCTGAAAATCTGATTATAGTGCTAAGAGTAACTAATTAATTCATAGTTACTGGTTAGCAAACTTTCTGTTTATTTATTTATTTATTTTTTGTTGTTGTTGTTTTTACATCTTGGGCTATGTGACTAATGAACTCTGTAAAGTCCCTATCTAAATTTTTTTCCTTTCAAAGTAGAATATGTGGTAGATAAAAGAACTATGGATTTTGGGGCAATAAGACAGTTTTTCTGCATTTTATACTATAGTTATTATTGTTCTTTATTTTATGCTTTTATATCAGCAAATTGAGTGTAGAAGCAGCATCATGGAAAACCACACATATAAAGGTTATATTGTAATTTGACAAAGTTGCTAAAAATATACTTCACAGTTGTTGTGTTTTTAATTAAAAAGTAAATTCAATTTCCACTACTATGGAATCGAGTGTGGTGATTTTATCAGAGTTGATGTTTAAAAGAAATAATTGTGTGTACCATAGGAACTCATAAAATCGATCATGTTTCAAATAACATAAATGAATTATATATCCTCTGGGGCAACTTACTGATTATTTATTATCATGAAAGCACAGCGTTATGGTTTAGACACAAATTCTCCCCCAAAGACTTATGTGTTGAAGACTTGGTCCCCAGTGCAACAATGTTCAAAGGTGTGACTTTTGGGAAATGACTGGCTCATGAAGGCTCTGACCTTGTCAGTAGATTGATTAATCTGTTATAACTTAACAGACTTCTGGAGGGTGGTTGAAACTCTAGGCAAGTGGGGCATGGTGGGAGGAAGTAGGTCACTGGGGCATGTCTTTGGGAACTATGTATTATCTCTGCCCTCTGTGCTCCCCAGCTTTCCAGCTGCCATGACTTGAGCAGCTTTCTTCTACCATGACCTTCTGCCATGATATTCTGTCTTACTTCAGTCCCAGAGCAATGGAGTTGGCTGACCATGGACTGAAACCTCTGAAACCATTAACCAACACAAACCCTTCTTTCTCTAAGTTGTTTTTCTCAGGTGTTTGTCACAGCAATGAAAAGCTACCTACCATATACAGTATTTTAAAAATGTATCCATGTAGTTTTGTCTTCTACCTGGATCCCTCTCCTGGCATTTCCTCTCTATGAATTAGCATGCCACAAATGATGTGTCTAAGCATTAGTGTACATTTAGTTTCATCTTAAATGTCATATAAGGAGATTTAGATTCAGTTCCATTCTCTGGGGATTTACAAAGATAAAGAAAACACAAATGTTAACTTAAGTATTGAGAATGTACATAAGGGCATTTAATTGTTAAAAACTAGATTTGAGTTGAATAGTTGTCATGGATACGTAAGAGAGGATGAAGGCACATTGCTAACTATCTTCTCTGCAGTATCTAAATAAGATTGCTGGAAGTAAAAGAAATGCATTTTGAAAGATGAAAGAGAATGTGTGCACACACACATACAACACACACTTGTACCGAATGGAGTAATGGAAGGAATAATAAAACAATTACAATGGCTAAGGTGATGAAAGGGCTAATCCAAGTACACCTTAAAAGAAGAAGGTACTTATAACTGAAAGGATGAAGACTGAAGAGAATTTCAGTATCATTATTCATGTATGTAGATTAAGCTTAAATATCTACTGTATATTTTAGAATGAAAAATGAACCTATGCCTATGAGCATGAAGAAATGTTGAAAAGTTTTCATACCTAGAATGCATTTTTTAGCCCCTGGTTATATTTTACTAAGGGGTATGCAGGGCATTTCTTTATTGTCTTTCACTTTATAATGAGGGATATTATAAGAAATGTCCTATTAAAATGTTTTTCTTATTGGTATGGAGTATAGCTATAAGCCAAGTTTGTTTTCAAACCCTTAGAAATTTCATAGGACCAAATCATATGGTTTATTTTATTAAATTTCTTTTTAAAATATTTTTTATATTTATAAAATTTTTAAAGTACAGAGACTGAAAAAATAAATACATTAGTATCCTAGCATTGAAAATTTTAATATTTTTCATTTCACTTCAAATTTTTTTTAAAAAAATCTAAATTAAGTTGGATATTTCAGATAAAGCTGAAGTCCTTTTTTTTTTTTGAAGTCTTACTTAGTACCATTTCTCTTCTTTATCTCCCCAGAGGTAATCACAATCATTAATTTTATTTCTATCTTTCCAGGCCATATATTGATTTTAATATATTTTGACATAGAGTTTGTGAATTTAAATTTTTCATGAATACTATCATGCCATATCATTCTGCAACATGTACTATTTTTATCCTTGTTTTGAGATATACCTATATTAATGCATATTCTTAGTTTATTCTTTTTGTTGCTATTTGGCATTCCACAGCAGCACAGACTACCATTTATCCATTCTCCTTGTGGCTGACATTTAAATTGGCAAAATTTGGGTTTTAGGTGCTATGCTATAGCAGCCACCTCTTTCAATTCTATGAGTAACTGTGTTCAGGGCCTTCTCTAAGATAGATCTAAAAGGGAAATTGCTATGTTGTAGGATTTACATATTTTTAATTTTATAAGTTTTTTGACTTTATAAGCTATTACTACTACGCAGGTGTCGTGGCACAGGCCTGTAATCCCAAGGGCTTTGGAAGCTGAGGCAAAAGGATTGCAGGTTCAAAGCCAGCTTCAGCAAAAGCAAGGCGCTGAGCAACTCGGTGAGACCCTGTCTCTAAATAAAATACAACATAGCACTGGAGATGTGGCTTAGTGGTCGAGTGCCTCTGAGCTCAGTTCATGATACTAAAAAAAAAAAAAGAAAAAATACAACCTTGATTTTTGAATTCTACCAGTCTGATAAATGTGAAACATACCTTATTAAAATTTTAATTTGTATTTTCATGATTACTTATAAAATTGAAAATCATTTCATGCTTACTAGTCAGTTTTTTCTCTGTAAATTTCATGTTTTTATTTATTTTCTATATTAATCAATAAAAGTACTTTATAAGTTCTGGATATTAATTTCTTATCAGTTATATGAATTACAGATATTCTCTTCCATTGGTCATCTGCCTTTTAAATTTTTTTTTTTATACTAGGGGTGCTTAACCACTGAGCCACAAACCCAGTCCTTTTTTTTTTTTATTTTGAGATAGGGTCTCAAAAATAAGTTGCTTAGGGCCTTACTCAGTTGATGAGGCTGGCCTCAGTCTTTCAATTCTCCTACTTCAGCTTCCTGAGTCATTGGGATTACTGGCATATGCCACCACACCCAGTTGCCTTTTAATTTTGTTTACAGTGTCATCTATAGTTTTACAGAAGTTTAAGATTATCCCTTTTATGTTTGCCTGTGCTAGAGGCCATATGCTTTTTGCTGACTGGTTCAGGACCAGTTTCTATATTGACTTTTAGGCTTGGGACAGACACTATGCTGCAAACCACGTGTGAATCCAACAGAACTTGTGCATGACACCAGTGTAGAATTCTGTATTTGACCCCTTTGGTCCTCTGTCCCCTTGTCATTCTCCTGTGGAAGGATCATGATCTAGCTAGTCCCTGTTTTGTGTCTGGTTGTGTCTTTTTTTTTTTTTTAAAGAGAGATTTTTTTAATATTTATTTTTTAGTTATCGGCAGGCACAACATCTTTGTTTTCATGTGGTGCTGAGGATTGAACCTGGGCCGCACGCATGCCAGGCGAGCACGCTACTGCTTGAGCCACATCCCCAGCCCTGGTTGTGTCTTATATGCCATCTGTTCTTTGCAATTGGCTTGCCTCTGACTTCTCTCTGTAGAGGTCCCACAATTGTCAAAGGACAGCCACCAGCCATTTAGATCTTTATTAGGTCCTACTTTTCTTTAAGAGTCCTTTGTCTTCAATTCCCTCTCCTTCCTCTGACTTTGAGTTCCATCTTTATTTTTAGTACTGGGGAGTGTGTGTGTGTGTGTGTGTGTGTGTGTGTGTGTGTGTGAGATATAATATATTTT